GGCCCCGGAGCAGCGGGACGAGGTGGATGTCTGCCTTCTGGATCTGCCTGTGAGGCTGCTTGAGCTGCTGCTGCCTGCGGGCATCCTCTGCCTCCCTGCAGTTGTAGGCCATGCCGTCCTTCTTCTCCTTCTTACGCAAAGACAGGGTTAAAGCCAAAAGGAGAAGGCACCCACCCAGGAGACCGGCCAGGCAGAGAACGACCACCACAGACGGGTTCAGCCACCCGGGATCCTGGGCTGATATTTTGGAGAATGCGCCGTGATGCCGGAAAAATAAGTGGACACGGACCACGGTGTGCAGGGGGATGTCTCCCCCATCGCTCACCCGGACCACCAGCTCCTGCTCGCTGCCGGCAAGGCTGCTGGCATTGCTGGTGTTGAGGAAGACCTGCCCCAAGACAGGGTCCAGGATGAAGAGCCTGGCATCACCCCCACCCACCAGATCATAGCGGAGAGCCCCGTTGATGCCAGAGTCCACATCCTTGGCCATGACGGTGAAGAGGAAGGGAGTGCTGGCACATGACACAAGTGTCGCATTGGTCACTGCTGCAGTCTCTTGGGTGGTCCCATTCCCAGGGGCCACCCAGAGGCACCCCGTCTCCGCATTGACCAGGACAGAGAGTGTGGCCACGCCTCCCACCAGCACTGGTGCAGTGATGATGGGTGCGTTGTCATTCCGGTCAAGCACAGCCAGCCTGACAGAGATGTTGGACGCCAGCTTGGGGTGACCACCATCCTCCGCGGTCACCAGGAACTCCAGGCTCCTCATCTGCTCATAATCAAAAGCTTGGAGGGCAAAAACATCCCCAGTGGTGGGGTCGATTGAGAGTAGACCTGACACAGAGGAGTCCGGGATGCTGTAGGTGATTCTCCCGTTGAAACCCAGGTCGGGGTCAGTAGCACGGACAGTGAGCAAGAAGGCAGGTGCTTCACTGTTCTCAGCAACGGCAACCTCATAGGTGGCCTTTTCAAAGGAAGGGGCATTGTCGTTCACATCACTGATGCAGATGGTGAGGTGCTTCAGCACAGCCAAGGAGAGGTCTCCGTGGTCCCGCACCAGCAGCGTCAGGTTGTACTCAGCACGCAGCTCCCTGTCTAGCGTGGCATTGGTCATCAACACGTAGCTATGGCTGTTGGTCCTCTTCAGCCTGAAGTGCTCATACCCTTGACTGAGGGAGCAATGCACTTGCCCGTTGCTTCCTGAGTCGGGGTCACTGGCTGTCACCAGAGCCACGAAGCTGTCTTTGGGGAGGGCTTCGGAGAGCACGGGTGCCCGTGCAGCCCAGGTGACGTGGACGTCAGGAGCGTTGTCGTTGACATCCAGGACTTTGACCACGATCTTGCAGTGTGCTGGGATGGGGTTAGCGCCCAGGTCCCGGGCTTGCACGTCCAGCTCGTAGGCATGGGTTTCCTCGTAGTCCAGCGGGTGCTTCAGGATGATGCTGCCCGTGCGGGCATCGATGCCAAAAGCGCTCAGCACCTCCGGGGGTGCGTGCTTGCTCAGGCTGTATTCGATTTCCCCATTGGGACCCTGGTCAGGGTCAGTGGCCATGACTGTCACGAGGAGGGTCCCAGGCAGAGCATCCTCCCGAACCTCTACCATCAAAGAGCTCTCTGCAAAGACGGGGCTGTTATCATTGGAGTCAAGGACAATTACTTTAATTAAAGCGGTACCTGATTTTGGCGGCTCCCCGTGATCAGTGGCTGTCAGCACGAGGTCGAAGGAGGAGTGCAGCTCCCGGTCCACTTCTTTAACCATGACAAGTTCCGCGTGCCTTGTCCCATCGGAGCTGGAGACAACCTCCAGCGCAAAGTGCTCACTGGGGGAGAGGCTGTAGGAGCAGTGGGCATTGGGGCCAGCATCGGCATCCAGGGCTCGGTCCAGCGGGATCCGTGTCCTCAGGGATGCACTCTCTGACATCTCCAGCTCCAGCTCGGGCGTGGGGAACCGCGGCGCGTTGTCATTGATGTCCAGCACTTGAACCTCCACGTGAATCAGAGCCAGGTTTCGGGCAGCCAGCACGTCAAACGAGACCCAGCAAGGATCGCTGTGCCGGCACAGTGGCTCCCTGTCCACCCGTCCAGCCGTGCTGAGCACCCCGTCCCCGCTCCCCACGTGCAGCGGGAACCTCCTGGGGGTCTCCATCAGCTGGAAGGTATCCGCTGTTTCGCCGCTCTCGCCCCCCTCGAAGTGCTCGGCCAGCGTCCCTATCACCGTTCCCGGCAGCACTTCTTCGAACACCCGGTACTGCACCGTGAACGTGGCCACCTCCTGGGCATCGGTGGACAGGAAGAGGTACCACCACAAAGCTGGGAGATGGAGACCGGAGCGGCTCAGCAACAGCATGCTGCTGGCAAAGCCCACTGCCCCGCTGCCCCGGCGCGCTGCCGTGGGCTTGCCCGCCTGCCGCCGCATACCCCAATTGTCCTTACAGCGATCGCAAGTCCTTGGCATCCTCTCCCATCTCCAAGTCCCATAGGCACCAGCCAGCAGTTGGAAAGGAGGAGAAATGCTGACAGAGTCCAGCGGTTGTCCCCTGCCCCACCATCGCCGAGGGGTGACTGAGAGACCCAGCTGCTCCCCGGGCCGAAGCGCTCAGCCCGGAGCAGAGGGGACCACTGCGGCTTCAGCCGGGGAGCCACGGTCGGGAGCGCCACCACGA